GCAGCACCGCAGTCGCTTCATACCAATGCCTTGGCTCAAAGTGCTTCGCCAAATGAAACTACACGAGCATCAGCATCGGTCGGACTTGTGGGCGGGCGGGCGCTGTGGGCGTCCTAGTAGGTATGTAGCAGCTTGATAGGGCGTTATAGATGTATCTTACTTGAAGACGCCTACGCATCGCTTGTTCAGGGGTGCCGGAGTGGTTCGAAGCGATTGTTACGTTGGAACCTTTAAAGACGTTTTTTGACCGCGAATCGTTTTTTCAGTTGAAAATCAAATTTCTGAATAGCTCCAAGCGATATTTCCTAAGTGTTTTTGGGTTATTCATGTGGTATTCTATTTATCTAGTTTATTTTTGTATTATATTATCGTGCAGGTTGGCTTCTCCAGTCTTCTGAAGGCGTTGCATGGTAATGCTAAAATTATGAGGGCTCTAGGAAGTTGAGAGCGGAACTGTGCTTTTTTTTGTTGTGGCGGTATTATTTACAGCGGATTTCAGCTGCCCGCTATTCGTCTTAACTAACGAATTGTTTCCTTCTTGACGAACACCTGCTTTTGAAGTGTCGCCTGCGAATTCTTAGCAGCTGTTTCAACGTGTTTTGATTGTATGCGAAGTAGCGAAAAGTCGTGAAGCAAAAACGCTGCAGTGGTCAAGGTGGAAACGTACAGCACCCACTTTTAGAGTTGCAGGACTGATAACATGCCTGATCCCCCTCCTCTCCCTCTAGTCACCTCATATGTAGAGTCGCAATGGACGCGGCTAGGCCAGTGGGCGTGAAGTGAGTCCACAGACGGCTGTATCTTCCGCCAATAATGGTCGACTCGGGTACAAAACAAAGCGCCTAGCAAAGTCTGCGGGTGAGATCATCCCCACTTCTCCTGACACCTCCCCGCCAGACTGCGACGATATCATCTGTAATTGCAGTTTTGTTCACTGCTAAGGCTGAGGCGGTTAAGGCTCCGATGTCTGAGCCAGTAGGATTACCCTCCCGGAGAAGCCTGTCGCAATATTATCCGACTCGTAGGGAAGAAAGGCCTTTTGGCATGGAAGGGGGCTGTTTCGGAATCTGACCCCTGGTCGTGCTTAGAGAGAGCTCCATTTGTCGTTACTACACCAGCTCCTTCCTAAGGATCAAGTTCTGTTGCTACTCCGTAAGCATCAGATGCAACCAATCAACTTGGCCGTTGTAAAAGGGAGGATTTCCCCGTTCTAAGACCAGGAAATTCTACACAGTTCGGCTTGGTGGAGCTGGTTCACTGCGATCACTGCCGACCCTTCCGTGGAGACCCGTTGACTATAGTAAATCTATGAAAAGGTATAGGCTTCGTTTACATTTGACGGGAGTTTTGAAGAGGAGCCAAGCCGGACCGCATCGAAAACTCTTCTGAATACCATATTCGTCGGTCAGGCGCTGGTTGACGCTTCTTTGGTGCGTCACCCTCTCTACTGCAACATAAGTGTTAGACAAGAAGTTTAGTACCTATTGGACTTTTACGATGGAGCATGGGGGGGGTCCACCTACGTTCAAAGTTACACATTGCTTCCCCTCAAACCGAAGAACTACAATAGAAAGGAGCTCTTCACACTCGACAAGAGGCTTAAGATCTCGCCAAGGCAAGACATATAAGATAACAGGAACTAGTAAAAAAGTGGCAAGCTAGAAAAATGCCTCCCCCCTCCTAAGCCGATTAGCGCCGGTCATTGTATAGAGTATAGGGAAAGTCATTTAACACATCCAAGTGGTACTACAGTTCGGCAGAAGTCGGCTGCAAGATATACGTGGGGAATGAAGCAGACATCTCCCTCGCCAAAAATGCGCAGCAGAGCGAAATGCCCCTCCCAAGCCGAACATTCCCTCAAACTCTACTTGAATTTCGTTGCCTTTATTTCTCTCATAATGCTATCGGTAGTATTTTAGGCGTTGAATACATGAAAGTTCGGATAGACGATCATCCATACGCCCGTATCCAGGACTACTTCGATCAAGTCGCTGATAAGATCAAAGCTGTCAAGGTAAGTCCCTCCTTGTTGCAAAATGATTTTGAGCGAAGACGGTCAAGGCAATCGTAATTTCTCGCGCGCGGAGTATCGCGCGGCTGTGCGCGACGAATGGAGGCGCACAAATTTGTCGATTGGAGCAGCGGAACTCATTTGAGTTCGAGAGGCGATGACGGGCGATATCGGACCGAACCATTGCTTTAACACTCAAATCCCTACCAGATAGGGCAACTCGTCCATCGGTGCGGCGTCGCTCGCCACGTCCCGTGCAACAGCCCAGCGTCCATGTTACGATTGTCTTGTCACATACCGACTTCATCTACTGCCTATGCCAGGCAATTTATTCAAACAAATGAATTTTAAGGATCGCGGTGGTAAAACGCTGGTTCATTGTATGGCTGGTGTGTCCCGTTCTGCGTCTCTCGTGATGATCTACCTCGTAAAACATGAACGTATGACGTTACGACAAGCATATCACTATGTACGATCGGCACGGCCGGTAATACGACCAAATGTGGGCTTCTGGAAACAGATGGTCGACTTTGAAAGGAGACTTCGAGGTTTGTGCTGTTATAACTTTGGCGGAGCCGTAGACACTAATTCTGTGGTTACGGCTTCTGGGAAGAAAGGGGGAGGGAGAACCGCTCCTTTGTTTGTCATCCCGCAGAAATCCAAAAAGCAGATGAGATCTATAAAGTCTTGTTCGCTGCGGATGGTGGGGCGTGCCAGTGAGGCTGGGTTTGACGCGCCGCCAGCTAGTTCTTCACCAGTTGTTGCGGCTAAACATTAGTAATTGGTGGAAAACGACCGGTAAGATTGATATAGTATTGTCGCTTGCTCGCTTCAGCAACTGAAGAACGTCGCGCTAACCTATCCCCTCTAACCCGCCCCATTATCCGCAGCGGACAAGACTGCTCAAAACACTCGGAGCAGCTTCAAGGCTCGAGTAGGATGACCAGAATGTAACAAGGTGGGCGCAGGGTACAGAATCGTGATGTGTGAAATAGTGATGTTAGTACGACAGGTAGGGGGGGTGTAGCCAGTGTGAAATGGGAAAAACGGCGAGAACTCGACAACCGGAAAAAAATTTTCCCAACGCGGCAAATTCCTCTCAAAGCTACATACGACCCCCCCCTCTTCCTCCCCAGCGGCCAAGTACGACCCCCTCCTCATGTGTTTCACACAACGATGCTGAACCCTGGGTGGAGCGGTGTCCCTTTTCTTGACAATCTTGTTCGTCCCTTCTCCTCGCCGCGCATTCATCGACCATGTTGTTTGGGCGCTGGAGCTGATGTGATCTACTGGGTGGTTTTCTGGGCGAAGGTTCCGGCTAGAAGGAAATTGATATGATCTATTTGCCCTCATACCTATACAGTTGTTTTCGCTATAGACCCTGAGGCGTGTCATGGGTTGGGTATGACGCGGCGCCAGCCCATCCTCCACCAGTTGTTGAAGCTAGCTACTGACAAGACTGGTGGGAAACGGGCATGGGTTGCTCCAAACCCAGCCCCCTCCCTGTCACGCAGTAGCGTCTGCAGGGAAAACGATCATATACTCAATCGTATATTCCGTTCAGGTGTTGCCTCGGTTACGATGGTGATGACGAATCAGTGCGATCTGCCAATTCCTGACATCTACGTTGATGATCTGAAAAGAGCTCAAGAACGTGAACAACTTCAGAAATCCACTACCACCAGCAACGGAAGCTCATCGTTGATTCGACCGCCCGTGCCGGTGTTGTCGTCAACGAAACGCCGTGGATATTCAGCCAGGTGAGCTAGTCATCGTAGAAATTTACGATAGGGTAACTGGTCCTTCACTGATGTATTAGGTTGTTCAAAAGGTTCGTGACCATTTTTTAGAATCTCGTATCAGAACTTTCCGTAGCCATTTCTACATCCAATATGGGGTCTATGAGAAGTGTGTTAAGTAAAATCTCCACTGGCTTTCTTCAACGTCCCTCGCAGTCGCTGTTCTCATATGAAAAACGGTAATTGAAATTCATCATTTTCGACACACTTCGCTATATGAATCTCCACCAAGCCACAACGTGGTTGGAGCCACAAGCGGCATTTCTCTGAGTTAGGTCCTGATGCTACCTTTCATGGTACGGCGTTGAAATGGCCCGATCGCTTTCGCTTGTTCACTTCTACTTGGGAGGAAACTTCGTCCAGGAGGCCACTTGCCTTGGATTTGGACCTACTGTGTTCCTTGATCAAAACCAATTCGTACAAATCAACTTGCTATCTAGTCCACACTTGACTGGTCCCAAAGCACAAATGAGAGGGCCTCGCCTCCCTTAAAAAAGTATTGAAGTTTCGGTCAAAACTTTCTCATGAGCTGACCGATAGTCCAAGGGGGGGCTATTGCAAGTACTGTCTACGACTTCTCTTCCTCTTCCGCCATAATGACTGCATGAACAACGTTGCAACTGGATACGGAGTAGGTGTCTCTAGGTGAGTTACTCCCGGAAGTGGCTAGAACCCCAGAAGAGGGCAGAACCGGTCGCGCCGCAATCCTATCAATCTAGTAGGGGGGGGGGGTATCTGTGTATGTGGTGGGGTTTCCTCCTCTCTTCCTTAGAGGGAATTTCTTCTTCTCAGCGTTGTGGCAACCAGCGAACCCTATTGTGTTCAACTGCAAACGAGGGATGAAAATCCCCTCCCCCCCCATTTGGTCCCACAACCGAGCAGTGTTTGCCTACTCCACCACTGCTCAGGGTCACACGTTCCGAAAATGACACTGCTCGAGATCCTGAAGCTTAGCTGGGAATTCCACCACAGTCTTCGTGTAGCCCTGACTTAGCTCTTTCCGATCGCCATCTAAACTAATCCCTCAGCGACCATTTTCTGGGTAAAAAAATACGATTTTCAAAAGCACCTCAAAAATGACCCTGCCTTACTCGACATGGAACTGAAAAGCTTCTGGAAGCAAGGCAACCATTCTCTGCCTGTTGATTGGCAACAGGCAGAGAATGGTTGCGTTGCAAGTTGTCGATGAAGGTAACATGTATATTGTTAATCAAAATTGCTTCTCATTGGAATAAACTTTAACTCAAAAAAAGTCCGAAAATGTCACGAACTTTTTGGGACAACCTAATAAAAGATCTCGAAAAAAATCCTAAAGTGTCACGAACTTTTGGGGCAACCTAATAAAAAATGCTTATCGAAAACAATAATAGCTGTTCTCCAGGGTCCTCCATCGTATCGATCGATTTGGCCCCACTCTTTGGGTTTGTCGCATGGCTTTGTTATTTTCCAAGATCATAACTTACTTGGTTTTGATTCTAAGCTCGCCCAGTCGAACGCAAAGAATGATTAAAAATGTTGCCAAATAGCGTAAGATACCAGAGCGGCAACAGAGATCAGACCATAAGGCGATTTCCCCATTTAAACTGCTTAGAAACGAGGTGTAGTTCATTTGAACGTCGTGCTTCTTCTTTTCTGCTTCATGAAGTAGATGAAGCATCCGCACGAGGGCTCATTCGCTTCATTGTAGCTGTGCAGTATGTCAGTCTGAACTAGGAAATACTGTCCTAGTTTACGCGTGATCAGTGTAGACTAGGGTGACAAGGATTACCTCTCCCCTCCCCCTCCCCAGTCTGCTCTTTCACCAGTATGACTGCTTACTGACGTGCTACCCATTATGCCTTCCCTTGAAAACAACAATCCTACTAATATAATCGGCGATGTCCGTGTGTGTGTGTGTGTGTGTGTGTGTGCGTCTGTCTGTCTGTCACGAAATTCATAGCACCTGAAGAAGAGCCTGGCGGGGTCGGGTCAGGGTGGGGATGGATAGAGCATGGGACAAAACCTAAATAGCACCCATGACCCATGGTAAGCCCCGCCCACAGTGGGCGGGGCGTGCGTCCAAAGTTTAGCGATGTCACTGAAAAAGGTCATAACTCGGTTCCAGAGCAGTCCCGTGATGAGGAAACAGTGCAGTAAAGTTAACAAAGGCCTGACCGACCAAACATAGGAGACACACCCGAAATGGGCGGGGCGTTCTTGAGATGGGCGGTGCTTCCCGTGTCACTGAAAAAAGCTATAACTCGGCTAAAAGGCAACCCGGAGATGGGAAAAAGTAGAATAAGGCTAGCATTGGGTTGGCGGAGCAAATAAAGGAAACACACCCGAAATGGGCGGGGCGTGCTTGAGATGGGCGGCGCTTTCCATAAAGGTAGGTAACTCGGTTCCCGAAATGTTTAGAGGTCGCAGAAAACTCCATGACGAAGATGAACATCTGTCAAGAGTCCACCATGTTTGCGGAAGTACTAAGGCCCGCCCACAGTGGGCGGGGCGTGCATTTGAACCCGAGGACCATTGTAAAAAACCGTAATTTGGTGCTAAAGCACTACAGATGGCGCAAAAAAGTGGATTATGGCCCCCAAGTGATCACATGCAGGAATGTGCGAGGCACTCCCGCTGTGGGCGGAGCGTGCCCCAAGGTGGGTGGAGCCAAACTTAAAAAATTCGCAAAACGCTTCCAGAGCCCTCTAGACACCGGGAAAAAGTAGTTTAAGGTCATCGAGGGGTCATTGGTTGAGAAGCGCGAGGCATTCGTTGTGGGCGGAGCCTGCCCCAAGGTGGGTGGAGCCAAACTTAAAAAATTCGCAAAACGCTTCCAGAGCACTCTAGACACCGGGAAAAAGTAGTTTAAGGTCATCGAGGGGTCATTGGTTGAGAAGCGCGAGGCATTCGTTGTGGGCGGAGCCTGCCCCAAGGTGGGTGGAGCCAAACTTAAAAAATTCGCAAAACGCTTCCAGAGCACTCTAGACACCGGGAAAAAGTAGTTTAAGGTCATCGAGGGGTCATAAGTTGAGAAGCGCGAGGCATTCGTTGTGGGCGGAGCCTGCCCCAAGGTGGGTGGAGCCAAACTTAAAAAATTCGCAAAACGCTTCCAGAGCACTCTAGACACCGGGAAAAAAGTTTAAGGTCATCGAGGGGTCATAAGTTGAGAAGCGCGAGGCATTCGTTGTGGGCGGAGCCTGCCCCAAGGTGGGTGGAGCCAAACTTAAAAAATTCGCAAAACGCTTCCAGAGCACTCTAGATGCCGGGAAAAAGTAGTTTAAGGTCATCGAGGGGTCATAAGTTGAGAAGCGCGAGGCATTCGTTGTGGGCGGGGCGTGCCCAAGGTGGGTGGAGCCAAACTTAAAAAATTCGCAAAACGCTTCCAGAGCACTCTAGACACCGGGAAAAAGTAGTTTAAGGTCATCGAGGGGTCATTGGTTGAGAAGCGCGGGGCATACGTTGTGGGCGGGGCGTGCCCCAAGGTGGGTGGAGCCAAATTTAAAAAATTCGCAAAACGCTTCCAGAGCACTCAGATGCCGGGAAAAAGTAGTTTAAGGTCATCGAGGGGTCATCCTACTATATATAATCCGCTATGTGTGTCTGTGTGTGTGTGTGTGTGTGTGTGTGTGTGTGTGTGTGTGTCACGAAATTCATAGCGAGCGTCGCAGAAAAGATAGGATGACAGTTCCAAGAAGTGATATACATGGCAGGACGGGAACACAGGTGGGTGATAACACTTGATAAGATACGATAAGGGGCCGTAGAAGGGGAGGGTGACTGAATTCGTAGCGCAAGTTGCAGCAGGTGTGGGACCGTGATTTCAAGGAGTGATATACATGGCAGGACGGGAACACTTTTGTGGGTGACAGGAGGTGATAACACTTGATAAGATTCGATAAGGGGCCTTAAAAGGGGAGGGTGACCGAATTCGTGGCAAGTTGCAGCAACGGCGGGACCATGATTTCAAGTACTGATATGCCGTAGGGTGGGGACAGAAAGCTGATAACAGTTGATAAGATACGGTAAGCGGCCTCGGAAGGGGAGGGTCATCAGATTCGTAACGCACGCAGCAACAGTGGGACCTCTGATCCGAGAGGCGATACAGGGTGATATGATAGTGATACGGGACGGGAGTGTTATTGGCGGGTACGGAAGTGATAGGAGCTGAAAGTGACAAGGTAACATGGGAAAATCCGCTTCACCGCTCACAACAACATGCGATCGATATGACTCAAGTATAACGATCTCAGTGATTCCAACAGAACTCATTCCTCACTGCTTATTAGTAACGACATCGTGTACGACCGCTAAGCCAGCTCTATTCCAAATGCATGTGGTTTGTTTACAGAGATGTTATGAACAGCAGCAACTGACTTTATCACTCTTACCACAATTATCTTCCATCAGCAACTTCAGTGAGGGCCATTTAAAGGGTTCCACTGCTGAATGCGGTAGTGCATTCCAAAGCAAGACGCTTTAGGAAGACAGATTGCATAAATTATAGGCTGCTTCAGTGGCTGTCCAAACAGGCTGCACTATTTCCGTGTAGGTTATGAACGTACCAGTCGGATCGCTGGCTAAGGCCGGCTTTCCTCCTTCTGTGATGCGGGGGGGGGCGCTGCTGCTGCTTCTGCGCCTTGACGGAACAAGCGCTGCTTTTCAGTTCTTGGCTGATGCAGAAGATTCCTTTGAACAGTGTGGTTGGTCAACGATCCTTAACTTAGCACAGAAGGAGGAGCGCCCGGCGACAGCCGGGCGATCGACCGCTCTTCTGGAAACGAAAATGAGGCTAATTCAATGGTCTGTCTACCTTTTTCGCGGAGGTGGGTGAGCTACTTGTGGCACTTTCTGAACAGGGTACAGCATCGTTACGTGTGAAATGGTGGTGTCAGTACGATCCCCCCCCCAAGAGAAGGGTCTTGGTACAAACCCCTCCCCCTTCTCCAACACCAGCCTGCCATTTTCCTACAAGTTCCTAGCTTCCTA